ATCAATGCCTCTGATTGGAATGTTGCATAAGCTTATTTGATGAGGTCACAATCATCAAAAAGACAGCCAGTTTGGGAAGAGGCAGAGACGCTGTGAACGCTCTGAGAAGACAGTCGGCAAATCAAGAGACAGGATTTTGATTACCGGTGCAGTTGTGTTTGCTGATGTCATACCAGCATACAGAATGATAACAAAAACCATTTTAATAAAAGAAAAATAGGAAGTGCAAGTATATAGAGTAAAAATTAATACAACCATATAGATTATAGAATATTTAACAAAACGTCATTGACAATAAGTCATCTTTAAACTGCATGTGGAAATCTCTTCACTAACACACACACACACACACACACATATAGCCAAAACAGAAATATGAATTCAATGGGACTAAAAAAATTTTGATTTGCAGGTAGTGCCTGTTTGAGATCTTTAAACCCATATAACTTGTTTAATATTTCATGTCTCGTGTTGCCTTCAACTCCAAATAATGATAGTCACGTCTGTTAAGTTTGACAGACTATGCTAGTAGTAATCAATGTAAAACATCTCACTTAGTTCGGTCTCAGCATAATCATAATTATTTAAAGCTGGAAAAGTCTCAAATATAAAGAGGTTACAGGAACCCACCAACACTAAATGAAAGATAACTAATGCAAAATGACCACAATGGACATGCAATTTATCATGAGCAGAAGAGCTGCTCTCTTATCCTGATTATATTGACCAGAAAATGACAAAAGTCTTTTGTAGTTATAAAGTGATTTATCATTTAAAACAAGCCTATGTGATCATTGAACAAAATTGACTATTCAAACTGATATTTACTGTACTGCAGGGCTAACAAGGTGTACTTTAATGTGTTCCTGTTATTTTATCCAGCCTCTCAGCAATGCACATGATGTTGCTGCAAGAGACCTTCATCTACAGTAATGTCGCCATCTAGAGGAAAGGAGCACAACTCAAAGACAAAACATAACCCCTGTACATATTAAATATAAACAACTCCCTTGTGATGTTACACAAACTTTTTCAAAGCAGTTAAACATTTACGTTTCATTATAAAAACAGGCACATACAAGGTAGGATGTGTTCACTGTACATTAGCTGAGACTGTAGCTCATATCTTTCCACTGTTGCCGCTATCACAGCTGTACTGTGATGTAAAAGTAGCTGCATGTGATCCGTTTGACTGCATTAAAAGGCCACATGATGGCAGCATCAATCACCACTCTGCTTGACCCTCTCTGCCTCCCTCCCTCTCTCTCTCTCTGTGTGGCATGAGGCTCACTGTGGGCCGGTGTCATCACTCATTTGCAGCTCAGACTATCTGGGCACACAACAATATTTTCTTTCTCGTTTCCTCATTTCAGCTGGAACACGAGTGCTGGTCTCAGACAATGTTTGGTCCTGATCGGAGGAACAGAGGCAAGGAGTCCGGCGCAGGTGAGAGACGCAAAAGGAATATTGTTCAAAAGTTTGACACAGGGAAAGAAGAAAGGTAGAAGATAGTTTGTAAGAGTTATTTCAATTTGTAAGGTCACTGATTAATCTGCCAGTTTTCTTGATTAGTCTTTATTCACAGAATATCAAATTTGGGGAAAAACCAAAAACTGACTTTCCAGAGTCAAAGGTGGTGTCTTATCAAACCATCAAAACCAAAAGATATTCAGCTTATTATAATGAATGAGAAAGCAATGCTTCAATTCCTCAAATTAAAAGGTGCCGGTTAAATTTTCTATCAACGGACTGACTAATGGTTGCAGCTCTACATTACTGAATGGCCTCATGAATATGGAAAAAGTGTGTCGGGTACAGTGAGGGAATTTGTTTGGGAAGAATGATGCTTACTCCGTCCAACAGAGGAGCACTGAAGCCTGTTCTGGAGACACCACTAAAAGGTACATGTTACTCACTTTTAGTTTTTCCCCTTTAAGGGCATTTATTACGCATTTGGTTGATAGCCTGTAAACTAAATGTTGTTCTTAGAGATGAACAATAATCAAATTAACCGATACATTTATTGGATGTGCCACTTTATTTTCTTTAAACCAAAAAAAAAAAAAAACCAACCTGTGTATAAGAAAGTCTTTTTATTTATAATATATATACTGTATATATATACATACACACACACACACCACTTATATTCTATACACATATGGCTGGCTTTTAAGAAGAAACATTAGCATACAGAGGAACTTAATGTGCTACAGGGAAAGAACCTTTCACTAAGACAGGTTTTTGCTCTACCCTCAGAATAAGTGCTTAAAGTTTAGTTGAATTTCTTTTGGATAAACAAGGTCTTTGTTTTATGACACAACTACTGTATCATGAGTTATAGGTGTGTCTATGGATGAGTAAACACAGATGTGCATACAGTAGGTAAAAGTCAGAGGGGAGAACAAGCATCAAGGGGCATTTGCACAGTTATTCTTGGGTCTTTGCTTTGACCTGCTGACACACTCAGAAAAAGGTTGTTGAGTGCTGATTTTCATCACGTTTGCTGGGCTGTCGGGGTATATGAAAAGGTTTGCTGCTGTTCAGTTGCACCAAACAGTGAACTGGTCGCCGACAACTCATCCAACTGGACTAATTTCATACACACTTGCAGTTTTCACATGGTAGCTCATGTAAACATTGTCATCTACGGCTAGAGCAAATCCTTCAGCACCGTTTATTTGGCTGCTTTTGACTAAACACAGAACTACTTTCAAACGCTGTAGATTGTACTGTTTAATATGTTGGCACATGTGGGTGCCGTGTGCAAACAGGAGCAACATAGGAATGAAAGTGAAATTGAATTCTAATTCAGATAAGAGTAGAAGACTGACGAGATGAGGACCAAAGGCTGCAAGTAATCCTTTTCATTAGATCAAGCTTATGAAATGAAAAAAAAAGTTCATTTGTTTCTTCGAGTTAAAGTTTGAGTATTAGTTTAGTGATATAAAATGACAAGGAGCAGAAATTCCTGGCACTGGAGAAGCTGATGCCAGAGAATAGCATTTTTAAATGACTTTTTAGATTACTGAAATAGTTGCAGATTTTCTTACAAACCAATTAAGTTTTAAGTATTGTAATATACAAAGAAAATAAGCATGTCTCCAGGGATGATGGAGTCCCACCCCCAAACTTAACTATAAGCAGCCAACCAACCTATATTATTGACAGACCAGTTTACTGAAAGCCACACATTTCCAACTTTTGTGTGAGTGAGCTGCATGACATTGTCCATTAGCTAACCTTTCCAGGTGACATACACATTGAGGCTGCACTTCGTGAGTACCCATCATACATTCCTGTTAGGACGATTCTAAGGGCCCACGAACTTTGGGGGCCCACAGATGGGTGAGGTAGAGGGCCCAAAACTGCTAGCGGTGCCCCTGCTAGTGAGTGGAAACATGGAGAGTGACAAATTCTGATTTACAAAAGGTAGACACTATGTGAGAAATGAACAAGAGCAAGGAAAAGCAGGTGACATTTTGCAAGTATGAATAAAACTTAGTAGCACCAACAAGGTAATGTCATTACTGTGGAGGTCTCAGTAGTAGATGTCTGACTTTCACACAAGAGACTGGAGTAATCCTCCTGTTAAAACTTGCAGTTAGTGTTTGCACAAAAGCAAACAATACACAATCTTTCCTTAAGCACCTGTTAAAGTTTCTTTAACCCTGCCCATACATCCTTAACTCCAACCATAACCTACTGTAGTTGTCATGGGCAGATCTCCAAAGAGAATTGTCCAAGACCGATGCACTTTGATAAAAGATGAAGCCTATAATGCACAGCTCCACAAACTAGTAACAATATGAACTGGACAGAACATTGCCACCTTTTTATATTAAAACATTAAGCAACTGTTACATTTAGGCAACTAAAAACTAGTAACAAATCTTTACATCACATTGCTGAAACTTCCCGAATTTATTTTCTTCAAGTCACTGCAACTGCAGTACATAGAAAAACTAATTTACTGTGATAGCATCAAAAATAACGTTTTGCCAACATACATCATTAGTTATATTTTGACCGTTACATGTACAAGCTAGATTCAACATTTAAACCCCACACACACAGGCTGAGGTCATGCAACATCCAAAAGTAATTCCCTCAGCCATTGATGAAATCCTCACCGGTAATACATTTCCAGTGCTTTCCCCTCTTCTCAGAAATTGTTTAAACTAGCATTAGCTTGCCAACATCTTTTGGCATGTCTACATGTGTTATACATATTGGAGTCCACAGTGTGTAATCCTTTAAAAAGTTACTGCACTGCCCAAGTCAGCATTAAAATAAGAGCCAACAGACCCTCTCATCTTCCCTCAATGAGTTCCAGGAATAAATCGTCCCAGTGTTGTAGCCTCTGGGAATAATAAATAACAGGCAGTTTGTAAAAACAAATATGTCAGTTACTATTAGACACACGTTGAATCAGGGTAAAATTTAAAATCAGGTTTTATTCTCTGGGGAGAGAAAAAAAAAAAAACAGTATCCATCAGCAGACTGGTAACCATGGCTAGTTCCCCATGTATGTGCATCTGTGAATGAACCAGGCAGGTGAAACAAGCTAATGCTGCGAGACAGAAATGTACTCAAAGTAACCTGCCTCTGGCAAAAATCGTATTTTAGTCACCATTAGAAAGGGGGTTTTACCAATAATGGTCAACTTTTTGTCCCTGCTATTGCCTACTCTGCACTGTCCTAGCCACTCCCTGTAGCCATGCAGGAGAGTCACTGCTTTCAGGCTCTTTTTAACACATCTAGTCCAGTGCAAACTCATTAGCCTGATTCCCAGGGTTAGCCAGCCCTTATCATTATCACCATCACCTCACATCCGTTTACACTTTTTGCCTTTTGCTCATTGACAGATATAAGCTATCATATGGGGTACAGTAAAAATCAATGCAGCGCTGCCAACACTGACCTGCCAACCTGTTTTGGTCCTACTGTTGATACTTAAGGATAATTGTAGTTTCAAGTTTTTAAACCGACAGGATAACCAGGTGACCACTTGACCACCCAGGGCAGAGGAAATGCAGGAACAGGAGTAGAAGTCACCTGGCGCAGTGAAAAAGTCGGGCAGGGGCCGAGACAGGGTGTTGCAAAGTGGGAGGCAGGTGAACTCGCCGAGACTGGGGGAGGTGTAGCTTGGCTCAGGCTGCTGGAGCAAGCGGAAAGCTGGAGGATATCCACAGAAGAATTTCAAAAATAGCAGCTATCTTCGAGTAGGGTAAGCAGAGACAGAAGCCTAGGCAGAACATCATGCACATGCAGATCTGGAACACAGGAGAAATCAGGTCAAGCAAGACAAACACTAATAGTGGCACAGGAGAAGCTTGGCCAAGTGTTTGAGCAGCAAAACAGACTGGTGAAAACCAAGAGGCAGCATCACGGCTAAATACTATGAGGCCTGATTGTAGAGTGACCACAGCTGTCCCAATCAACCACATCAGAGAGATAGAGATGTGTCCTGACATTTTCACTCTCATGTCCTAAAGGGTATTGGTCACTATACTGTAGCTTTTCTTCCTGGTCCCAAAGCAGCAGAGTTTTGAATGGCTTTGGATAACAATTCACACTTTTTTGGTTTGTTTTAGCTGCCAAATATGGTCTTTAAACTGAGAAAAGTGCCTCCAGATGCTGCCTGGTTATTCAGCTGCTTGTTACACAGGATGGCAGTTTATGAAAACCCACCAGATTAATTGTCCTAATTGTACATCACATGCCACATCTCCTGTGGAAAAGTCACTGCAAAGTTAAAGTTAGTCAGTGGAGCAGACGTTGTCATGTACTTGATCTCTAAAGTTTTCCCCCACAACATTTAACCCTGATTTGAGATAGTGATTTTATTCTCAGTAGACTGTGTTCAACAGGATCTGTTATTACAACAATTATTCGTCTAATGGCCGATTTATCCCCAAAACGTTTTGACTTTAAAGTATGCCAAATGTCCTCCTGTTCTGCATCGATGTGACATAACACTAACTACATTTTTCCTTTTAGTTTAGGAAAAAACCTAACCGTGTTGGACAGTAACTCAGAGGCAGTAATGAGAGGTGGCTAGCTTCCACCAAAAAAGGAAAAATCTGCCTACTGGTAAATCCACAATTGTCTTTGTGTTATATTTCCTTAGATATAGACGTCAGCCAGTCTAAGTCTACAGTCAAGAAAACCCTGCAACCTCAGACAGTCTTTTAACAGAGCTGACAGCTGTTTAACAAAAGTCATGTAACAAGTAGCTTAATTTAAACAATTACTTTTGCTGTTGAGTAATTAGTAAAGTACTGTAAAGGAGTAACTGATTACAAGTAACTTGCCTGTACAGGCAGAAAACAGCATCAATAGAAATCTTATCAACAGAAAACCCAAGGGCAGAACACATGTACAGTGTATTTCTTTGACAGGCAGTCCCAGGGCATTGCAGTGAGGAAAACTCAACAACATTAACAAGTGCAGAGAAACAGAGAAATACCCTTTCACCCCAACAAGTGTTAGTGTGCCCACTGCTTCTGGTGGTAAGAAGTTATTTTATGGTTTTGACAGGTCACATACCAATTGCTTCGTGAGGAAACTTCACACCTTTTTCATTTCTAGAATTGCTCTTTTTCCTGTTGTTGCTGCCAGTGTGTGTGTGAAACCGGATGATACGGTAGTTGTTATGTTTGGTTTCTCATTGCTGAGTGAAACTGGGATAGGTTCTACTTCCCTTTTTCACCTTTTCACAACGCTTCAAGTCATTTGAGGTGAAGAGCTTCTAAACTCCTGTCTTATGTTCTAATCTTCATTTATAAATCATTCATTTACTAAAGAACAGTTCCTTTATTAAAATGTCAAGTGCAAAATCAGATTCTGTTTTAACTCCTGCTATCACGCTTTCCATCTGTACAAACTACATTCAGACAAGTAGGACAAGGACCAAATGAAGTAGAAGTATAAGGAAAGTGAGCCCTCACTTAGTGGATTGTTATTGTTAAAACGTGCCATGAAAAGACTGTCTCAGTCCATTTCTCAGTACTTTAACACTTCCCTAATCTCTCTGTGGCACACGGCCCAAAGCCCATTGTTTCCTTCAATACATGCAACATACAAATATAAAAGTAGTTTCCATAGTGCATTTGTTGGGACTATTCTAAATTGTGAATTAATACACAGTTGGTGCTGTAGTGACTATTTTGGGCATCCAAACAATGAATTTGGGAAATAAACTATTGTGGCCATGTTTATCTTACTGAAGGAACATGTCTATCCAGTGTAACTGTGTGGCACACTGATGTGTTTTTACTGATGTGTTTTTTTAGACAACACTGGATAATGGAGCTTTATGGCACAGAGGAATATAATCTGACAACACAGACAACACTTGCTAGTGGGAACAATTTACTGGTGGTTTTGGTCTTTTCAGGGGGGGGGTGGTGATAAGAAGAAGAAAATAGAATCCGACTTATCTTTTAATCCCACTTTCTAATGTACTGTAGGAGCTACTTCATTGACACTATGCACAGAGCACAGCTTCAGGTCCCAGTAATGGTTTGCTTAAAAGCCAAGCTTCCTTACTCAAACATTTAAAATTACAGTCTGCAAAGCATGATACATTTTAGTCTCCTCAGAAACTGAGACTCCTCTTCCAAATACAGACAAATGTTCCTATGAACACACAGACACACGGTTCAGCCCACTCATGATCTGAAGTGTGAGATTATGTGAGAAGTATTTATTTATCACCTGACAAGAAAACAAGTAGAGAGTTAAAGAGCAGTTAATTTACTGAATCTACTGCATTTATTGTGTTCACAGTGACGCAATGCTCACAATGACTAAAGTGAATCACTAAAGTGTGCACTATCACATAAACAGGTTTACACTTTTGAACTGCAACTGACTGTCAACAGAAACTCCAGGTGAATCCCAATTCCCTTATTTCATCACTCCTTCAACCTGGATCCTCACTTGACTCGAAAGTCAGTCGGGTCTGCAATGATGAAGACATGCCACAGCTCTTATTTGTGTTCTGCGGAGCGAGGAGGCTGTCTGGAGGAGCTATAACCGAGGATAGAGGAGCACACTCTTTGCCGACATCTATTACAGAGTGACATATTCCTTTGTCAGAAATCAGTTTGTGATTAGACACTTCACAGTAAGGCTCAAGGAAAGGATGTCTCATGTCAGTTAAAATGTGTTTCCTCAGTTCCTCTCTCTTCACAGTTTCTCCTTGCATCTCACATGGGCAGAACTAAGACACAAGGAAAAGACACAAGTGAGGGAAATGCAGATGCATTTAGATGAATTGAGATTTACCTTTTTGCTGTTTATGGCCAGGCCAATCTGATTATGAAGAGAATTTGTAGACAGACACATGTTAATATTTTGAGATGGACTTCAACTGACCTCTTCTGTCACAAGTCTTTGTTACTGCTGACTGTATGTTTACTGGTTTGATGTTAAAGGTACTACCTATAAGAAACAAAATCAGAATGTGAACTGAATATTCTTTATTAACCAACATCAGTTTCAGCATGTTAGCATACTGGCAAGAGTAAGGACTGTTGGCTATATAGCCAATTAAAAATATATTAAACAAGCAACTGTCCTCGTTCTCCAGAGATCATTCTGTTCAATTCTGTTCTGTCAGTCAGATGTGAAATGGACATGGTGAGCTGTGAAAACACACCTCCCTGGATGCACATCACACAAGAGAACAGCAGCAACTTGTCAGAAATATAACGCTGCTCCCTTCTTGGTGTCTAATTCGTTCTGTCTCATTTTTCCTGCCTCAGAAATGCATTTCAAGCAAATATTTTCTCGTTCCATGTATGAGTAACTGAGTGAGCAATGAGTAGGAGGGTGGTAGTGTTAGTTTTGTTGTCCAGTGATAATATCATTGTGTATGTATGAACAAGAGTGAGATAATAATGCTGATTACAGTTTCCTCCGTAGATGCAAACAATAATATGTAAATTTTCAGTGTGCTATTGAAAACTGGGTGTTGTAAAGACAATGATGATCAGCATCCAGTCTGTGCACCAATGTTTGGCTGAATTATTTTTTCAGAAACTTGACATTTATCAGTGTTTTTGTGTCCAAATCAGGGATGAACTTCCAGGCAGGGGCCTTTAAAGGTGTCGGTACGCCTCAGCTGAAGTGCTTGTTGGATCTTATAGTACTTATTTCCTGGTCAGGTGTGTGGAATTGTGAAAACAGGCAGGGTTTGAACTACTTTCTCAAGATCTCTAGGTATATTTTTCTGTTGCTTTATCATTGAGTGCAACACCTTCAATACTATCAAGAAGGGAATTGCAGAAATTCTGGGAATTACTGGACGCAGATGTGACAAACAGTAAACGGTGATCCGTCTAGGAAGTAAGTGTTGACAGGATAGCCAGTTGTCACAGTCTGTCAGGAGATAATATTGACCCTTGAGTGTGATAAGACCAGCCAGGCAGCAGTCATAAAAAGATACAGCAGATGTTGTAATAGGTGCTCAAAGCTGATAAGGCATTCGTTGTACCTATGAAAGGTGCTTTGCTGTACCTCAAGAACAGATACTTACTATAAAATGGTTCAGAGCAAAATTTCAAAACTGTTTTTTCATTTCCTACCTCATTCATCAATTTTGATTGAGGTATCATGCCATCAAAATTGCTAGAGAATTATAATACATCTGCA